AATCAGTATATGGTGTTTCAAAATTAGATGGTTCTAATGATATGGCCATTTTAGCAGCGCTGTCTGTTTTATTGTTACCTTTAATTCTAACATGGCTGGGTAACCAACAGCATACTGTATTATGCGAGGTACTCAACTCGGTATGTTTAAGGAGAATATTAGCCAATAGTGGAGTCTCCAGTTTTCTATTATGTAGTGACTAAAGTACTGATAGTGAATCAGAGAAGATGATTCTGTTTAAAATACGCTTGCTTTAAATGAAAGCAAGGTCTATTTCTTCGATTTCGGCTGAAAAAAATTGACGTAAAATTTGGCAAGCGAACTTTGGTTGTGTGTTTTTCATTTACCAAAGCTTCATCAGCCTTTTCCTCATCTTTTTATCCATCGGTATATATTTTTGTGTAATTTTCAAATTGTGAGAGGAGTTCATGGTAAGAGTTGTGGAACATGGAAGAGTTTGTCTCCGATTTTTTTTCCATCATGTACGTGAAAAGTACCCTTGGTTGCTGAAGTAGCCATGGGGTGTTTTGGAGATGGTTACTTTCAGAATTTTTGAAAGATCAATTTAGATACTCTCGAGAAATAGTGATATTCTAATGCCAAATGTAGGTATGACATTTGGTTATATAAGGTTTTATATTTTTCATATAAGGTTTCATATAAGGTTTTATATTTTGGTTCAAAAACTGCTGAAAAAACAGGGTTCAGAGGGCTGGATCTTAATTTGGAAGCATATTGTGCGGAACGCATAACTCTTCTTTGTAGTAAGGGTGGTTCATCCGAGATGAAAATTGGAGAAAAGCTAAAATTCTGAAAGATGGTACTGTTGTTGCACAAGTAGATGTTAAATACGTCGATGCGAAACGAAGAAAATTGTCGCAGCAAGTCGAGAATCTAAGGTTGAGATTACTGTTATATATCCACCAAAAACTGCTCCATGAATATCATTAAAAATTCCGCAAGTAGCCTACAATATAACCGACCTAAATAAAACTTTAAAAGAACTTATAACAAAAATTATGGTGGTAATGCGGATGATTTTGATCTAGAACCGAATTATAACACATTGCGAGCTAGAATAAAAGTAAAAAAAAATGGTTTTATAGCTAGCTTTATATCACCAACAAGCATTGAATCATTGATAGGATTTCGTCATGAAAGATTGTCCTGGTCTTATTCATACTTCTATCACGTATGACGGTGAAAATCTAGTAAATATCAATGACGTTAACTCAATATTGATAAATTGCTCGATCACCTCAGGTTCTTATTCAGTCAAAGGCAGCAAAGGGCAAACGATATATAGTCCTTCACCAGAAGTTCCGCCAGATTCTCGCATGCAAATCAATCCGCGTCGTATTATATAATATCCGTTAAATGTTGAAAATCAAATAAAAAAGTATGCAATTGACAGACTAATCTGGAAAACAGTTGGATTTGAATAGCTAAGTTGTTACCTATTACCTGCACCTACGCGTTGCGTAGGCGAACAACAGTAAGACAACAAATTATACAACCTCATATATAATGAAACAGAAAAAATTTAATAAAAGAAAAATAGTAGGAGGATTTTTAGGAAACAGGTTTACTAAAATTGTTGAAAATATTCCAGGACTAGCTCGTACAGTTGCGTCAATTGCACTTGACGCCAGTAAAGCTTTTGCAACTGGAGCTGCATCTGCTGCTGCTGCTAGAACTGCAGTGGGACAAAAATATCTGATAAAATAAATGGCGAACCCAAGGCACATGCAGCAATCAAACAAGTTATTTCAGAAATTGCACCAACAAAAGAAACCCAACGCACATTGATAACAACAACGAAAAAGCTTTTATCACCCAAGGGAGAGCAGATTATTCAAAATTTAATATCTAAAGTAACAATTTTATATAATCTATAAAAATTTTAAAAAAATGTCTGTGAAAAATTATCTCAATTTTGCAGAAATTTATGTCACACACGATATAGTAACGGAATTTGAATATGTCAAATATCTTGATGAAAATTCTAACGAGCCAGATTATGTCAATAGCTAATCCACCTGCCGCAATTGCTGCTGGAGCAGAAGTAACTCTTATAAATAATGGAAATTGGAAAAATAAAATAGCAGAAACTGGTTTTTGTTAAGAAAATTGAACACTAGTTTTTTAGGACTATTGTGCTTTCGCTAACTACATGATAACTATTTCATCTTAAACACATATATGCGTCTGTAGCTGATTGCTAGCGTGCTGAAACTCTCATTCTGGGGGTCATCGTTCGATACTCGTAAAAAACATGTGTCTGCGGGGGCGATTTTAAGCTAAGATTTGTAATCTGTTGGGGCGGAGCCACCCGTCCTTATGTGAGTACACGAATCCAATAGGTCAACACGTGGTGGATTCATTCACTTTTGTGAATCACCCATTGGTTAATCATTGGGGGCTGGTGTGCTGACGTGAAGACGGCATTTCTCATATATCATATCGTCATCATCATATCATCTCATCAACAATAAACAGCTCGGGATGATATGAGATCGTGACCTTGTGACTTCACTAAATAGGTAAACCACACGAGGTTATTCCAAAAGATACAAAAACTAAATTTAAACGTAATGAGATTCCAAGTCACAAAGACCAATCAGCCTTTGAGTTTCTAGAGTTTCGATTTCGGATATTTAGGAATTCTTCTAAGGCAATAAACAGAATCTGGTTGGTCACTAAAATAAGACATACACATGCGCAGACAGCCCTCTTAGTCTCTAAAGTTTCGGTTACGGATATTGAGGGGTTCTTTGGGGGTAAATGTCTAAACAAAGATTCGGAACCTCATTAGGTTTATCTGATCTAACTATGTAATGGTAGATTGAATGTCACCCCGCGCTGTTTATTTTTGCTTAGAAATATCCATATCAAATAATATATCCACCATGTTATCAATAAATGTCATTACATCATCTGCCCAGCCGGCAATTCTCATATCGTTTTCAGTCGCAAATAACCATATTGACCCATATTTTGGTGATATATGATAGCCTACTTTTTAATGCAATCGCTTATTATTTTAGGTTTTATACCGGTATATGCTGACGCTGATTTGATCGAATTAAATCTTTCACAAAATCTGTTTGTTAGATCAAATCCAACATGTCGTACTTAAAATGGCATGATATATGATATTTTATTTGTTAAATATAGCATTTTGAAGAGATATCGATCCGCTGACAAAAAAATTTAAACTTGGGGGGGGGGAGCGAAGGGGTCTCTGAGACAACGTTATCATCTATATATACTACTACAATAAATCGGATGTTTAATTTAACAACCTTACAACGTTAGTTATGTCATTCGGTTTTCACCTGATGCGCCATGTTCAAATGTTCTGAGTTCTTGGTTCTATGAATATAATCTTCCTTTACTATGAAGGAGTACCATATGTTCTTTTTGTAAAGCTTATCATTTGACTAGCGTGCTTCGTTCATGTGTCAATATATCGTTTGGGTTTGTGTATTGTATATGTGTTTGTTTTTCACATTTTCTGTTGAATCTTTGTTTAATTTTAGGTTACCTTAACCAGCTTGATTTTTATTTCATTTATTATGTTTTAAATTCATATTTTTGCGATAGGTATCCATGCTATTTAGCACCAAACATTCATTATATTCGTAGCTCAATCAAACGTTATATGAACCTGACAGCAAAGTGAGCGATGCCTTTACAAACCAAGGGCTTGTAGGGTCACGTGCGCTGTCAAAAACTTGGGAAATATTGTTGTAGTAAGGTTTAATGCCATTATTCAGCACAAGATAGACTATACATGGCAAGCATTACAAATGGTGGAAGATGAACCCTGGGAAGAATCACCAACCCACGAAAAGCTACTGGCAAGTTTTCACGTACCTACGTTAGCCTAGCCTTTGGCTCGAACCCACACAGACAGGTGAGATGGCAGTGATCCGGAACGGTGAGTGCTTTAGACCATTCGGCCACTCGGGGCCCCCTTGGGAAATATCATTTGGGAATTAAATATAACTTATGGAAAGAGAAATACTAATTAAATCAAAATGTTTTTTGCATCATAGAACAGATAAACGCTGTATTCATGAATATGAATTGTGGCAGATAAACGTAAGTAATGTTTGAAATGATAGAATGTTTGCAAAGAACTCCCACAGTACCACTGTTAATTTGTTAATGTCGCACTTACACAAAGAGCCGCATCTTCGCATCTTGCATGAATATAGTTTTCGGTAAAAAAAAAAATAAAATAAAAAAAAAATACATCAAGCAGCAAGACAAAAAGATAAATAATTCTGTCAAAAAGTTGCATCAACAAAATTGCTCGCTACTGAAGTGTACATCTGGCAGTGAATATAATAATGATCACTTTTTATAACAATCTATTAAAAAAAACGGGAAAGTGTGTGTGTGTGTGTGTGTGTGTGTGTGTGTGTGTGCTGACCTCAGTTTGATTGTTTTGTATGCATGCAATTGGATATTAACAAGAACTCTGGCAGCAAAGTCGTTTGTCGATATCCACATTTTCACGTTATGACCATAATATTGACCAAGTTGCATCACATTCCATCAAAATGCTGTATTATTGCTCTTGTGAGTACCAGACAGACGGATTGACAGACAGATATGACTGCCATACAAACATGGGACTATAACTCCATCATTTAAGTCCAGCATAAAGTTAAAATTATAACAGTTATTTAAACATTTTTGTGACATGTTATGAGAATAGTACAGTCATCACTTAATTATATAATAAAAAATAGTTGTTGGAGTGTGTGTGTGTGTGTGTGTGTGTGTGTGTGTGTGTGTGTGATTTAGATTTTTAGCGCAGCTTTAATATTTATGTTAGTCATATCGCTACGATGTCTGCAGTGTGGCAGTTTATAGTGATGTCTAGCACTGGGGCGTAATGCCGCAGACATTTAGTATGATGTCCCATCCATTTATATTATCCTGACACCAAGCCGACCAATCCTAACACTAACCTCTAAATTCTGGTATGACTCGGCCGGGGTTCGATCCCGAGACCTTTCACATCCGAGGTGGACGCTTTAACCAATAAGCCACTAGAACCGGCATTAAATAGCTGTTGGAAACATTTTATAAAGTATTATTATGGACATGATGGACAAGGGTGTTTCAAATTACCAAGACTCTGGGGCAATCCAAAAGCTTCAATATAATCGTACATGTTCATTAAAATAGTATATCTTTTTTAATATCAACAAGAATGCAATATTCATTCCCACCATTCAGATCTTTTTTCAAATGCATATTAAAACTACATATTTCACTTTATATGAAATGAAGGCGACCTTTAAACTGAAGCCAATTAAAAATGTCATCAGGTTTTCTTGGGACTCTAACATGTTTATCCATTACTGCCATTTTCTTGTGGCTATAGCAATAACAAAATTTTCAAGATGGCTACAATGGTGGACATATCGTATGTCATATCAACACCAATTTCACTCGACGGTGAAAACCCCATGTTTATATCATTATCCATTCCGGATGAGTGGTGATAAGATTAAAAAAATCGACACTGATTGTGGTCATATTGGCTGTTTTGAGTGGTACCTTTCTCATTCAAGACCAATATTATATAAAATCTTGTGGTGAAAACTCCATGTTGATATGACTTCGTATTTGGGCTCTTGTGTGGCCAGATCTGAGGTCAGATCAGCGCCATTTACTTCCAGGATGAACTAAATATCTTAATTATTCTTCTGGTGAAAACTTTACCATTTGAAGGGATAGCAATAATAAAAGTTTCAAGATGGATGCCATAGTGGCAATAGTTGATATCATATCATATAAGTGCCACTTTTATTTACATGTACAATCTACATGAAAATATAACTTTCCATCTAGGAGATGTAGTGGTAACACTTTCAAGATGTCCATTGTGATCCTATTGGATCTCATATTGGCATAAATTTATTTATGATCAACTAGACATAAGAGGTCTTTTGGTGAAAACACATGACTTTCCATTAAAAAAATTGCAGCAATAACTAAGTTTTCGAGATGGCTGATGTGGTGATCATTGTAAATGTCATACCAATACCGTTCTCGTTTTGAAAACAATGAGGCACACAAACTCCTGTAGTGAAGATTACATCTTGATATAACTATTCATTCAGGAGGAGTGGTGACAAGATTTTCAAGATGGCCACTATGGTGGCCATGTTGGATGTCTGAGTGGAAATATTTCACTTACGACCATTAAGACATCACAAATCTTCTGGTAAAAGCATCGTCATGTATGAATTATCTTTCTGGAGGAGTTTCGGAAGCACAAACAAGATTTTTAAGTCAGCTGTTGTGGCAGCCGTACGGTATGTTAAAGCAGCACCGGAATTCTTTTAGTAAAACCCCATGTCACAAAACAAATGTTCCACCCTGTGATCCTTGGTTGCCATGACAGAAGATAATACACATAAATACCTTCCATATTTGCCAAGACATGGACTTGCCACCTCAGGGTAAGTCTATATAATATGGAAGATATAGACAATAAAATGGCTTTTAATAAAAAGACAGTTCAGGTAAATATATCACAGAAACACGTCAGCTGGATTGAAGGAATATGTAAGTTGCAGAGGCAAAGTGCACATATCAAGAGTTCCTAGGTTTGAGTCCTGATCAAGTAATATATGTTTCCATTGTGACAATTAAATTCTAATTGCAATTTTGACCTTGACATTGTTTTATAAATATTGTTTTTACTCATTTGTCTCCAATATAATTTGTTTCATCCCCATCTGATTACAGCATAATAAAAATATTCCAAAGTTGCTGACTATAACCAATATGTGGAAAATAATTTTAATTTCTTTTAAAGGCAGTAATAGTTGAATTTTACACAGTACTATTATTTAGCTGAGTGACTATCAGGTTTTATAAGGTGACTGTCACTGGTTCAAGTGAATTTTAAAACAATATTACCAACTATGACAAGGCAAATCCAAATTTAAAGCAGAAACAAATAATTTTTTAACTCCCAATTTCCACGTCAATCATATGACCGCTCCGGTGCCTTAGTGGTTAGAGCGTCCGCCTCGGATGCGGGAGATCGCAAGTTGGAACCCCGACCGAGTCATACAAAGATTTAAAAAAAATGATAATTACAGCTGCCTTGCTTGGCGCTCAGCATTAAGAGGTTAGTGTTAGGTCTGCCTGGTGTCAGGATAATGTGACTGAGTGGAACATCATACGACATGTCTGCGGCATGATGCTCCAGTGCTAGACATGAATATAAACTGTCACAATGCAGACATCGTAGTGATATGACTGAAAATTTGTTAAAGCTACGTTAAAAATCTTAATCACACACACGCATCAATCATTGGAATTTAATCTTAAAATACTGAAACAAAATGTTATTGGGCTGGATAATTCAAGATGTGAAATAACTTCTCGGTATGACTATATCGGATGTGGTCATTCATTGCCATATCTAACATTCAGCATTGCAACTATTACTATTCCCATGTACAGAATAAATTTCTAAGTTGAATTAAATAATTCATTCAAAGATCTATGAAAACAAATTAAAAATGACCCAAAGCCTATATAATATATAACTGGAATTTTTTTAAAAGCATAAGCGGCAGTCAGACCAAAGAATATTGCCATGGTTACATTATCTGTTGCTTTACTGACACAAATCATTCTAAGGGTGTATAGTTACTTAAGACACGTGTGACATGTAGGCTACCATTACTGAATAGGTCATCTTCGTTGTTTGCATCCGACATTTTACATCATAAAAGGGAGAAGTGTTTAAAACACACACAAAAGTTCATAAACTTCAGTTTCTTTCTTGTCATAACAGCAAACGGCCATTTGATGATCATTCTGCAACATAGCCTCCTTATATGCAAACTGCACCTTGTAAGTGAAGACGACTATGCACATCACTTGATTACTCTCTGACCCATTTTCCTTCCAGTCCATATAAATGTCACTTTTACAAAGAAATTGCCCCAACCAAAACCAGTTAGCAATTATATGAAAGATGTGTGATGTGATTATGATTTTTAACATAGTTTTAACAATTTTTCAGTCATATTGCTACGATGTCTGCAGTGTGGCAGTTTATAGTGATGTCTAGTTGTTGTTGTTGCTGTTGTTGTTATTCTGGGGCTTAATGTCATTTTTCAGCACACGGTAGGCTATACATGGCGGCCAGTATTATTGGTGGAGGAAGAAACCGAGAAATCACCGGAAAGAACCACCGACCCAAGAGAAGAAACTGGCAAGCTTTCTTACATATCCACATTAGCCGAATTTTAGACTCGAACCCACGCAGACAGAGGTGAGATGGCAGTGATCCTTAACGGACAGCGCTTTAGAGTGATGTCTAACACTGGGGCATCATTCCGCAGACATGTAGCATAATGTCCCACCAAGACACATTTTCCTGACACCAGGCTGACTAGTTCTAACACTACCCTCTTAATGCTGAGCGTCAAGCTGGACAGCTATTAGTACCATTTTTTTAAGTCTTTGGCATGACTCGACCGCGTATCGAACTAACGACCTCTAGCATCCAAGGCGGACGCTCTAACTACTAGGCCACCGGCGCGGTTCAATTATATAAAATACCACTTGCACCAAACACTGATGGTTGCTATGCAATTAAGCAATTTTTTTTTCCAGTGCACTGGCATCCTTGAGTGTTTTTTTTTTGAAAGGGAGTAAAAACAATAAGATCACGCAGGGAGATCAAGTTAAAATAGAAAAGAAATCTGGATAAAATATTTCATATTTTTATTCATGTAATTTATATTTTTTATCAAGTACATGATGCTTCCCATGTCGTTTAGTTACATTATATAGGTACTGGTAACTTTTAAAGGCAACTTATCCATGAAATAAATACTTTCAAAAATATTTTTCAATGCTGTATTATATATTAATTGATCCATGCATTTGCTCTCACATTGTACTTTGTTCTTTACTGATCCCATACCTTTACACCTATCCTGTAATGTACATTGATGTATTAAGAATACTCAGCTTACAGATGCAGGCAGCATAAGCTATATACAAAGCACATAAGTTACTTCTTGTATGCACAACTAGTGTTTTCCATAATTCTGATTAGATGCAATCATATTTAAGAACTTTGTTTAGTTTACTTTCATTCTACAGGTCCTCAAGTTTATCTATATTGTACTTAAAAGTCCTAAAAGTTGAACGGTCTGAAAAGTTATTTTCCCTGTTATATGCTCTTAAAAAAACTAACAGAAAAGTGTGAAGACAAGTTTTGTAAAAAATTTTATTTCCCTAGACTACAAAGCGAAACATGAGAAGAGAAAAAAAAAACAAAACACTTATGGTATTGTGAATTAAATCCAAAAATAATCCAAGTATTACATACACAAATCCCAGTAACAAAAATCCTGAATAAAACTCAGTCTTAGGTATGGAACCGACACAGTCTACCATTATTCTACTAAATGGTTTGTCAAATGCAGGAATAGGTTACAGCTCAGCCTTATGTATCTTCTGACTGGGTTCGTCTACCATTTGATAAGAATAACAAGATCTGCAGTATTTACAAACATAACTTTTAATTTTTGGCCAATGGAAGTGATTCAAAACCTTGTGATAAGTCTTATAAATCCCTAAATGACCAGCCAATTGAGTTTCATGGGCCAGACAAAGAATTTCCTGTCTGTAGTATTTTGGAACTACAATTTGATAGTTCACTGACCACTCATCACCAGCAGGTACCTTGGCAGGTCTCCATTATTTCATAAGAATCCCATTTTTTATGAAATAACAAACAGGTACTTGTGTTGCTTCATTTTCTCTAATGGCCTTTGAAACAAATTGGAGATCACATAATCGTTATTCCTGTTCGACGATAAGTGATTGTCATTTGTCACCTTGATTAGAATAAAGAGAATGGGAAGTTAAAAGAGGATCGCTGTGATAAATATCATTTGATTAATCCAAACAAGAAGTGAAAGTAACCTCATTAAAAGCCTGACCCATACGTATGTCAGTTAAACGAATACTTCCCAATCAACATCATTCTCAAGAACTTCTTTTCCATAGCTTTTGTAACTGCACAAGCTGGTTATAAATCAGGGAATTCTTTTTCACAGGATAGACTTTCTGATCGAAATAAGGCTTATCAATTACAAATGGATTAACTATAACCATGAGTCATCGCCTAGTAATTAATGAACAACCTCAACAGGTAAAGAAGACATTGATCCAACTCCCACGGGTCCTGAAACCTAATCTGATGACAAATTTACGCAATGTAGAAGAAAACTAACAAAACCGCACTCTACTCCATGAATAAGACCAGTCTCATTAGAAGAAGACTTCTCAGAAAAAGGCAAAGTACTTGATAATAAAACACTCCGAGAAGCTCGCGTATCCCTTACAATTTTAATAGGGATAGGATTGGCTGAATCACCAATGAGTGATTTAGAACCCCTCGATATGAATGGTTTATACCTCTCTATAATAAAATCAGACTGGGGTTTATTAGACCCAACAAATGTATTGATTTCAATACATGATCATGACCTTTTAGAAATATGAGCATTTGGAATAGGTCTGTCTTGATTCTGATCCTTATCTGGCATTTGTCATTTCTTCTTGCAATAGGTACACATAGGAAGATATAAGGATTTCAGATCAGTCTTATCACAAACTTGATTTGTAAAGGTTGTGCCAGATTGAAATTTAGAAAGGTTCATATTCAACTGAAATATTTTTAACAGACAACTGCTGAGTGGAAGACTTGCAAAAGAAACTTTATGAGCTAAAGAATACTTGTCAGTAGTACAAGTAGTATTTACCATAGTTTCGACCTTATACTCATCAAGATAAGTCTTAATGTCACTGGATGCAATTCTTGAAATTTTCAAGCATTACGAGTTGTCTGAGATTTTCATAATCTTGATCAACTTTCTTGGCCTATGTACCACATATCAAATAACCGCTCCTTTTCTCTTACAAATTTGACATGAATTTGTCCAGCTTCATTTGCATAGTTCCTGAATTTTGTATAATAAGCCTCAGGAATAAGTCATAATCCTTGAATCAGGAATAAGTCATAATCATTGAATCAGGAATAAGTCATAATCCTTGATGATACAATTCCTTAACCAGGTCATAGTCTGCAACTCTTTGTACTAATAGGGAAGCATGGATGTCTCTTTAATAAATAGAGTCCAATGTTGTCTTGTCAGTTTTGAATTTTCAGCATTTTATTTCAAAATGAGGAAAATATTTATCTAGTTCTTTTTCTCTAAAAGGTGGCACTAACTTAATATTCTTAGTAACATCAAAACTTATAAAGTGGAGATGTGCTTTTCACATGCCAGCTCCAATTCTCTTACAATAACTTTAAATTCTCTTTCTTCCTTTTCTTTTGCATTTGCATCTCTCTCTCTCTGTCTCTCTCTCTCTCTCTCTCTCTCTCTCTCTCTCTCTCTCTCTCTCTCTCTCTCTGTCTCTCTCTCTCTGTCTCTCTCTCTCTCTCTCTCTCTCTCTCTCTCTCTCTCTCTCTCTCTCTCTCTCTCTCTCTCTCTCTCTCTCTCTCTCTCTCTCTCTCTCTCTCTCTCTCTCTCTCTCTCTCTCTCTCTCTCTCTCTCTCTCTCTCTCTCTCTCTCTCTCTCTCTCTCTCTCTCTCTCTCTCTCTCTCTCTCTCTCTCTCTCTCTCTCTCTCTCTCTCTCTCTCTCTCTCTCTCTCTCTCTCTCTCTCTCTCTCTCTCTCTCTCTCTCTCTCTCTCTCTCTCTCTCTCTCTCTCTCTCTCTCTCTCTCTCTCTCTCTCTCTCTCTCTCTCTCTCTCTCTCTCTCTCTCTCTCTCTCTCTCTCTCTCTCAATGTATTTGTTTCACTTCTTTCCCTAACTGCATTTGTTTCTTTCTCTCCTCTTCCTCCAACAGCAATCAGCATTTTCCTCTCTCTTTCATTCCTTATTTAATTGCTTTCACATTTGTTTTCCTCTTTCTGAAGTTCAAGCTTTCTTAAATCTAATTCCATCTTGTATTTTAATTTTAATTCCTTTACTGTTGTGTTATAGTCTGATTCAAACTTACAAATACTGGACCAAAATATTTTTAATTT